CCCCGTCCCGCGCCACTCGCAGCCTCCCTGAGGTCCCGGGTGGGCGTGCGGTGCTGGGACAGGCGCAGAGCGGGGCACCTGACCCGTGGCCTCCCATGTGGCTTCGGCCTGAATGTTTTCTTCTGTGAGATGAAAATATCAGACTCGCCAGGGACTCCGGCTGCCTCTGCCTCTTACATCATTCAAGTCGCGGGTCCTCATCACAGGCCCCAGCCTCGTGCCCGTCCTGTCCTTCCCGGGTGGGCGTGCGGTGCTGGGACAGGCGCAGAGCGGGGCACCTGACCCGTGGCCTCCCATGTGGCTTCGGCCTGAATGTTTTCTTCTGTGAGATGAAAATATCAGACTCGCCAGGGACTCCGGCTGCCTCTGCCTCTTACATCATTCAAGTCGCGGGTCCTCATCACAGGCCCCAGCCTCGTGCCCGTCCTGTCCTTGTCAGCCTCCTGAGGGTGAGGGGCCGAGGCATGGGGACTGGCTGAGGCCTGAGCTGAGACGGGCTGAGCAGCAGCTTTGCACTGTGGCCCGTGCAGCTGCCTCCTGCCTCCTTCCACCCAGCTGGCCCTTCCCCTCCATCAGGAGGGGCTCAGGCTCGCTGTCACCTCCGGTGCAGGAAGCCGCCTGCCTGGGGCCGTCTCCCAGTGCCTGCGAATCTCTGTGGGCATGCAGGGTTCCCCCTGCACCACTGGTTTGCAAGGGAAGGGCAGGGCCAGGCGGATGCGCGGCCCCAGACCCAGCCGGCATGTGCTGACATGAACGATAAAGAGTGAATTAAAGAGCAGCCGGCCGGTGTGGCTCCGGTGGTTGAGCGCTGTCCTATGCTCCGAGGCTGCTGGCTCGATGCTCAGCAGGGGGCGTGCAGAAGGCAGCCCATCCATGTTTCTCTCTCAGGATGTTTCTTCCTCTCTTTCTAAAATAAATGAAATACATGTTTTAAAAAAGGAGGGGAAAAAAGTAAGCACCAGGGGTCAAGACAGTGAGGAAGGAGCCCAGCCGATGTGGCTCAGTGGATGAGCATTGACCTATGAACCAGGGGTCACAGTTTGATACCTGGTCAGGGCACATGCCCGGGTTGCAGGCTTGACCCCCACCCAGTGTGGGGCGTGCAGGAGGCAGCTGATCAATGATTCTCTCTCATCACTAATGTTTCTATCTCTCTCCCTCTCCCTTCCTCTGTGAAATCAGTCAATCTATAATAATAAAAGTATAATATGCTAATTAGACTGGACAGTCGAATGACCTTCCAGACGTCCTTCTGGACAAAGCCATGGTGGTGGGGGCCGAGGTAGAGGTGGTTAGGGGCAATCAGGCAGGCAGATGTGGGATCGGGCCTAAACTAGCAGGATTCCCCCTAGGAGTCCCAGATTATGAGAGGGTGCAGGCTGAGCTGAGGGACTCCCCCCCCATGCATGAATTTCGTGCACCAGGCCTCTAGCATCTATACTAATAAAAGGGTAATATGCAAATTAACTGTCAGTCCACGACAAAATGGTGGCACCCATAGCCACAAAGATGGCGGCGCTGGCTGGAGTGGACGGGACGCTTGGCTTCCTTTGTCACCCCAGCGATGAAGGAAGCCAAGCCTCCCACGAGCCCTGGCTGGCCACTGAGGGCCGGCCTCTGAGCGGTGGCCACGGAGCCGGTTGGAGTGGGCAGGAGGCGGCTCCAGCCCAGAGCGAAGGCGGAAGGTGGTGGCCAGAGCAAAGGCCCGGGTCCCAGGTGCCGGAGGGAAGCCAGTGCTGGCACCCAGGGGAAGGAAGGCCTATTCTTTCACGAATCTTTGTGCACCAGGCCTCCAGTGTGTGTGTGTGTGTGTGTGTGTGTGTGTGTACATATATATAAAAGAAAGAGAGGAAAGTGAGGAATGCCTGGCCAGTTTGGCTCAGTGGATAGAGCGTCAGCCTGTGGACCAAAGGGTCCCGAGTTTGATTTCAGTCAAGGGCATGTACCTTGGTTGCAGGCTCCTCCCCGCCAAGCCCTGGTTGGGGCTCATGCAGGAAGCAGCCAATTGGTGTGTTTCTCTCACACCAATGTTTCTCTCTGTCTTTCCCTCTCTCTTCCATTCTCCCTAAAATTCAATGGAAAAATATCCTCAGGCGAGGATTAACAACAACAACAAAGAAAGTGAGGCAGGAAAGGCTCCTTTGCAGCTGCAGGGCTTGTGGGAGGGACGCCAGCAGGACAGCTGTGAGGAGGGAGGCCGGCCAACCAAGCAGCACGCATGTCTGTTCTCCTCCTCTCCTCCTAGGCCGATGGAGCTCCACCTGCCCAAGTTCTCCCTCTCCAGCCTCTATCACCTGGAAGGCGTCCTCCCCCGGCTGGGCATGAGGAAGGTCTTCAGCAAGAAGGCCGACCTGTCGGGGATCACAGGCGACAAGAACCTGGTGGTCTCTCAGGTGAGTCGACAGCGTGGACATCAGCCTCCGCGTGGAGCTGGGAACAGCCAGGCCGGGCAGAGGCCAGGGAGTCTCCCATCTCCACACAGAGCTGCCCTCCTCATGACCAGTTGCCCCCAGGAGCTGGGTGCTGAGGCCTGGGCGGGCCCCTCCCTGCAGTCTCATGGGACAGAGCCGGGCGTAGGGGAGAGCCTGGGGTGCAATCGGCAGAGGACCCCCCCACGCTCCTCCCCTTACTGCCTGCAGAGCCCATGGCTCAAGGCCTGTCCCCTCAGCTTTGTCACGGGTAAATGCGGGGAGAGGTCTTGCCCAGTGCCCCTGCCCGGAGGAACAGGTCAGAGGCAGGAGGTGGTAGACACGGCTCTGGGGCGATTGTGATGAAGGGGCACTAAGAGATGGGAGATCCCGGGGACCCTGCACTGCGTGCCTAGAAGCAAAGTAGTCAGAGAACGGGGAGCTGCTGGGAAGCCCTTCACCCTCATCTGCACCCCACCTCCCAAAGGGTGTGGCAATGGAAGGTCAAGTGCAGGGGTGGGGGTGGGGCAGCTGCAGGGTCCAGGGATGTGAAGCCACATCCCCTGCGACATCGCCGAACCCCAAGGACATGGGGCTGGGGCAGGAGGAATGCTGACGCAGGGCCCGCTGTCTGTGGGTTTCGAACTTTGCACCAGCTGCCTGCGGAGGAGCCTGTGGGAAAATGCCCTCCTGCGTGTCCCCCCACAAAAGGAGGTATGGGGGCAGCACCGTCTCTGGGCTCAGGCGGGGGACCCACCCAAGGTGCCCCTGCCCTGCACCCGGCAGGCCCCTCACAGCCCTGAGCCTCGCGTGCACATGTGCACATCAGGGCTCCGCACACCAGGGTGCCGGGAGGAGCAGACCAGCTGAGCCGGTTGACGGCAGGGTGACAGTCAGCGGTGGGTAAA